GTGCCACCACCATTCAGCTTTTATTTATAAGGGAGATACTCTTTAAACCAAAATCTGAATCCCTTGAACTAAACCTCCTGAAGATTACAGTCTAGGTCACTAACAGTGTTCCCTCTAAACTGAGTTAGTGAGAGCTGGCTCACAGTTTTTTTAGCCTCTGGCTCACACACTTTTGTCTTAGTTCAGGAAGGATGGCTCCAGAGCAAGCTAATTTATGCAGTAGCCAAATCACTCTCTCAGAACTTTAATGCCAGTAGCTCACAAAGTAGAATTTTTGCTCACAAGACCTCCACAGCTTCGAGGGAGCATTGGTCACTAACCAGTTTGATAACAGAAATGTGCACGTAGATAATCTAATATGGTAACATCTTAATCTGAATACTTAAACGGAAAGTCTCTCCGGTTTTCTTCATACAAATTAAGGAGGCAGGCTGGGCTTAAGTGGTGCCCTCCCACACTCAGTCAACGGCTACAAACCTGCCAAACAGTGCCAAGTATCAAAGGTGAAACTGTAATAAAGTAAAAGACAGAATCCCAAGGGTTCCAGATGCATAGAGCAGCACATAAAGCTGCCCCACAGAAACCAGCAAGTCCTTCCCTCTCCTGCTCAGCTGGCTCCACTCCAGCCCATGGCTCACTCAGCACACATCTGGCTGGCCTAAGACAAAGCTTTGAAGGTTTCTTCTTCACTAGGTCTCCATGCACACCTTTAAGCAGAGCATTTTTCCAAGTGTGGCCTGTGCCAGAGTGCTGGATCAGTGGCAGAGCATTGGCCTCGCATGCAGATGGGTTCCAAAAGTTCAGCCCCCACCAGCCAGGCAGTGGCAGGCGATGTGAGAGGCCTCAGCCTGAAACCCTGGAGAGCTACCACCAGAGTAGGCAATATTAACTGATTGACCAATGATATTACTTAAGATAAGACAGCTTCATGGGTCCCATGAGTTATTGGATGCTTCTGGAGGAGGCACATGAGGCCTCACCTTTGAGCATAGGGACTTGCTTGTGATGCCATGTGTGGAGAAACGCCATTTTATGCCTATGTTTAAGTTGGTGTGGGCCAGATAAGAGGAGACCATGAAACCTGAGGTAGGCCTTGGCCTAGTCTCCTCCTCATTCCCCCCCCCTCCTGTCTCCAACCAGTAGTCTGAGAGCAGCTCCCTAGAGAGGACAGGAAGTCCATCAAGGCTGTGAGGAGATCTGCCCCAGAATGCTGCAGGAGGGAGAGTCACTTCCTGGGCGGGAAGGGCTGTTTGTATAGTGGAGCTTTTGGGCGGGAAACCAGTCGGGGAGAATTGAGAGCAGTCTGCCTGAAGTCTGGAGCCAGTCAGGCTGTCGGCTGGAGACTGCAGGAGGCAGAGGCCATGTTGGGAGTCCTCTAATGAAAACAAGTCATGTGCCTGCCCTGCAGACCATCTAGACAGGGTATGTGTAGTGAAGGGAGAGATGGAGCGATTTATTATCCACCTTTATTTTAATT